GCGGGGTCGAGGTTGCGGGGAAATGGGGAGGTACACACGGGTGGACAGATTCAACCATCCCAAATCCTCCTTTGGAAGGGGACCTTATTTTTGCATGAATTCTCTGGACGAAGAGTTGGCAAAATGCCCCCTCCAGCTTTTTGGGGTGTGTGTGTGTGCATGTGTCAGAATGCAGTTGGGTTCTCCCGTTTTGTTTTTTTCAAAAGGAAGTTTGGGTAAATTGAAAAAAAGGCAACCAGCAAAAATGACACGAACTTTGCATGCCCATCCCTCGAGAACTCATAAAAGGCAGGCAGATGTGGAAGAGAAGCTGCCACTGAGACGGGTTAAGAAAAAAAAATGAAAATGTGGTCGGGGGTAGGTTGGGGTGGGGAGGAGAAAAAAATTCCTGCCAAACCGTTTCTGAGCCCCTTGGCATCCATTCGGGCAGCAGTCGAGTGCTGCAGGAAGAGGAAGGGGGGGGGAATTCTGCATCAAACCCTGTTTGATTCAGGTGTAGTGTCTTTCTTTGCACCTACACTCTGGAATTACTTCTCATGATAAAGTGATCTGCAAGCAGGCCTGGGCTAAATCCGAGGTGGGAAATGTCACTTTTGGGAACTATGAATGCCAGGTTTTCCCCAGCCGGCACAACTTGATGGCCACGCTGGCTGGAGTTTCTGGCAATTTTCCTCAAGAAAGAAAAGACAGTGATCCTTCCCATTTCTGGGCTTTTTTTTCCTGCTGCCTTGGGATAAATGCAACAGAGCCAGTATTTCAAACAGGAGGAAAAACTTCCTAGCATTCCACTAGATTTCCCCCTACTATGAACAAGCTGAGTCCTTTGACTCAGGTTTTTTTTGGGCTGGATCAGCCTTATTGAGCAATCCAATTGAATATGTCTTTCTTTTTTTAAAAAAAAAGTATAAAAAAGAAAAAGGTAAGGAAGGCGAACTGGTAAATACGCTACAGACAGCGTTTCCACTGGTTTTCCACCAGACTACGTTCTGCTTTCCATTCTACGGCAACGTGTTAGGAAACCCACCCCACCCACACCTGTGGGTCGCAGCTACACTGCTAAAGCCTCCCGGGGTGGGGTGGGTTTAAATCTAGCTTTCTTTGCTTCCAAGATTAGGAGGGAAGAATATACACAACCGGGTTCCTTTTACGAAAAGAAACAAAACGAAAAAACAAAAAACAAAACAAAACCCCGGTAATTCATAATTGGTTTTTATCCCACTACAAGCACCACTTGGGGGGGGGGAGGCAGGAAGTGGGGGAGAAAGGAGTCCCGGGTTCAACTCGAGAGAGAGAGAGAGTGTTTTTCCAGATCCATCGCAGCCACGGAGCGCTTCTTGGTCTTCTCGGGCCTTCTGCCGTTCAGCATCCTTTTGACGCGTCTTTTCGTTCCCGGCGGCGGCTCGCCTTCCGAGGCGTGGCGGGACACGGAAAGGGACGTGCTTCCCAATGGCTGGATGTTATTCACAGTTTGGTGCTTTTCCAAGGTGTTTTTTTTTTT